CGGGCACTTGTGGACTCGGCGTCACAAATTAATGCAATAACTTCGGCTTGTGTTACGCGATTAGGACTTCGGGTTACACGATGGACGGCCCCGGTTTCTGGTTTGTCAGGGACATCAGTACCAAATGTTCAAGGGTTAGTAAAGTGTGATATACGACCAAGATACGCGACAGAGCCTATTTTTACATTCAACGCATGGATGTTTCCTACTATTACCGTCCAGATGCCCAGTGAAGGTATTGCTGATGACATAGCCGCGAAATATGATAACCTAGCTTTAGCTGATCCGTCATTTGCGGTGCCTAATAATGTGGACTTATTGCTCGGCGCAGACTTGTTCGCACGTATACTCGACGGTAATCGCGTCTCCGTCGGAGAGTCGCTGCCAGTGGCTTTTGGCTCAGTGTTTGGATGGATACTTATCGGTCCAGTCCCCCAGACCAACGATTATACTGAAGTGTCTTGCCCTATTTCTCTTGTGTCGTCGGTGGAAAATATAATTAGTAAATTCTGGCAAATAGAAGAACCTGAGGCGGCGCCTGATGATTTTACTCACGCCGGTCTCTGCGAAACTATGTATATTGAGAAAAGCTCGCGTGATGTATACGGACGTTTTGTGGTACCGTTGTTTTTTTGTCAACCGGTTGCGGACGATACTTTTTATGGTTCACGTACAGTCGCTGTACGACGTTTTACGTTTTTAGAGAAAAAATTACAGACGGATCGTCAGTTACGTGAGTCTTATTGTGCCTTCATGGCAGAATATTTGGCCTTGGGCCATATGTCTCTTGCTACATCTAAAGGCTTGTACTTCATTCCTCATCATGCCGTATATAAACATTCAGAAGGGGATATAAAATTAAGGGTGGTTTTCGATGCGTCGGCTCAAGCATTTTCCGGAACATCATTAAACCAATGTCTATACGCTGGGCCAAAATTGCAACGTGATGTTATCGATGTTTTAACTTTATTCCGGTTATCACGCTTTGCCTTTACGGCTGATATTAACAAGATGTACCGCCAAATTTTAATGTTACCCGAGCATCGTTGTTACCAACACATATTGTGGCGCGCGTCGCCTCACGACGAGTTACGTGAATACCAGCTAAATACGGTAACCTACGGGGTGAACTGTTCGCCTTTTACTGCTATTAGAGTCTTATATAATATAGCTGAACAGTATTGTGGTGAATTTCCGGCTGTTCGAGATGCGTTATTATTCAGCACGTATGTAGATGATATTTGTGTAGGTGGTGACACGGTGGAAGAGGCGTTAAAATTACAATCAGAGCTTATTACAGTTTTGGGTAGAGCGGGTATGGTTTTAAAAAAGTGGGCAAGTAACACAGAAGTCGTTTTAAATAATGTTTCGCCGGATGATCGTGTGATAGGTATGCTACCTTTTGATGACCACGACGCTATGGGCACGAAAGTACTCGGTCTCCAGTGGGACCACTGTAGAGATACGTTTTACTATCACGTACAGGCCGTCCCGGCCACTACTACTAAGCGAGGTATGTTGTCGCTCATAGCGCGCATCTTTGACCCACTTGGTCTGGTCTGTCCGGTTATATTTTATGCTAAGCAGTTGATGCAACGGGTATGGCAGGTCAACTTAACGTGGGATGAACCGTTGCCTAGTGATATTTTGGACTTGTGGCGCACATTTGTCGCTGATTTGCCTTCATTACAAAACGCCCGTATACCACGTTTTATCGGTACCCGACGCAACATCGCGTGTTATATTTGTGGATTCTGTGATGCATCTGAGAGGGGCTACTCAGCTGTTGTTTATTTACGGTTGGACGGGCAACATAAAAAACCGGTTGTATCACTGTNAAAAAAAAAAAAAAGGAGAGAGCGGAAAATCACGGGGGAGAGAGAAAATATATATTAATTAGTTAGGTTTTTATTATAATAAAGGATGTGATCGGTGGCTTCCTGCACTTGTTTAAAAAAAAAAAAAATTGTTTTATCTTAAAATATAGATTTGTTTACATTTTATTTTTTTTGGTTTACTTATGTTATTTGTCTAATATGACCAAAGTTTATTGGTGGTTATGTATATTGCCATGTATTTATTTATTTATTTTTATATTTATACCATTGTCACCGTTTTATACATTTGTTATCAGTATTCATTGTGTTTGTTATACAGATTCTTTTATATTTTATATTGTTGTTATTATCTGTTATGAGTTGTCCACCCATGCCATCAAGCTCTGTAGTGCTCTGTACCTTTCATAGATCAACCATCTCAGCTTCAATTGTAAGACGTGATCGTCTTCCAAGGGGGAGGATGTTCAAAAGTTAAAGTGTGTACCGGTCAAGTTCCCCACATAGCTCGAATCGCATTACCCCTCTCCATGTAATGACGACACTCGTGTCCGGCACTACCGGCAGTTTGCCGTCACTAACTACGTCGGTGTACGCGAGTGAAGTCGTACCGAACCGTTTGGGTCTGATGACTCGTGGCCAGTGATCTGGTATAGTTTTTTTTTGTTGGGTTTGTGTCAGCCTGTATAGGCGAAGCCCCAACATACGGTTACTAAAGGCTCAATCCATCTTTGGAGTTGGTGTCCTTAACGTCCATACACTGGTGGTGTTTCCTTTTCTGTGGTATTGTCAAGTTAGTGCGTCTTGTCAATATAAAATTAATCGTGGCATTCAGGATTGTTGGCGTCGGCCAAGAAGTATTGTTGTGGAGATGTGTCAAGTGGCTGGGTGATGTTACTCCTTTTTCTTATTACTTAATGTTCATATTATATGTAATTATTTAATTTGTGTATGATTAAAAGAATCGTGTCATTAGTAAAAAAAATGTGTAGATTGTGTTTTTAGCCTATTATTCGACTGTGTAAGTAAACCCCCGATCCGTCATTTATGTTAAGATAATTAACTTAACGTTAAAAGTATAAAGTAGTGAAATAATTTACTCTGGGAATTGTAAAGTTTCATTTCATTATTATTTTTACATCAGCAATTTCATACCAACAGTATCCCCTACCCCTGGAGTTGATAATTTTTGTAAAACACTTTCGTGTTATGACCATTCATTGGACGTCCATTGGACTTTAATATTATTTTACGTGACTTTTGTTAAAACACTAACATTTTACTTACACTTACTAACGTGACTACTGTTTATTTTTGCTATTTAATATTTCTTTTGCAGACGCTGAGTTAGCAAAAATACTCGCTAAATATTATTTTTCGTATTGATTTATTTTCACCCATTGTTCGATTAATACACCAGCAACTTTTTTATTTTTTTTTAACAAGTACAGATTTACGGGCTCAAATTTAATTGTAATTTTGTTGGATTTTCAAATATTTTTTCTAAAAATCACTATTTTTATTATCGTTTTTAAAATATATAATATTCATTTACATAGACTCTATATCATACTTCAAATATTGTACATATATTGTGTTAGAAACAAGCTGTATCAAATTTTAGTTTTTTACTTTAAGTTTTACCGTTGTTTATTAATATTTCTTTTATTATTTATCAAGTATAGTTTTAAAATAACGCATTCAAACATAATTATAGTTTTATTGAATATTCAACAACGCGTAATATTTTTCTACAAATCCATATTTTATTATCATTTTAAAGTATACAATATTCATTTACATAAACTTTATATCGTTACTCGAAGTTTGATCTTTTCGTTCGTTAGAAACAAGCTTCAGATTTTAGTCGAACCCTTTTGCCAAATCTTCTCGTGTAAATTGAAACCTAGACGGTAGATAAACTTGAAAAGAGGGTTCGACATCCAGTTTCACTTCAGCTACCGGTGTTTGAGTGGAATATTTCGATTTTACTACGAATAGACCCAAAACCTTATATTGACCACCTACTTTAAGATCAGATACACACTTCCTGCGTTTATTTTGCATACCATTTAACCATTTTTTATTTACTACACTCATCTAAAAATCATTGATTTAATTATAACAAAAGTCACAAAAATAGGCTAACGTAAATAGTTATTAGTACCATACAATTATCATATTAAAAATAAAAATGTCGTTGATAAAAATGATTCATAAGAAAATATATTGTTGTTTTATAATAAATTTGAAAATTTTTTAAAAACTAACATTAAACGTTATTAACATTATCAAAAGTTATCATACCAATAACAGTATACGTTTGCCCAGCACAACTAAAATTTAAATTTTGAAAAACTTACTTTTTTCGACTGTTGGTTGTTTTCAAAGTATATTTAATTCTAATTGTAAAACAAATTTTTCGCTTAAGTTTTAACTATAACTTAACAGTTAACATACAAAAGAAATATACTGAAATTACTCGAAAATCAGAGTTTTTATTCTCACGTCATAACAATAAACTTATAAGTCATAGAATAATTTATAAAATATCAATATTGATTTGTGAAGTGCAGTTTTAGAAAATATTGAATTGAAATAACTAATAAGACGTATATTTTACAATTTTTTTTTTCACAAACTTTGTTCTTGAAATATTTTATATCGTTATTGTGATGTCTTGGAAAAACGAAAGACTTCTGTCAACTGCTGAGCTCTTGGCCATATTGAACGAAGATGAGGATTTATTTCAGACTGATATCGTTGATGCTGTATATATTCCACCGCCAGTAGACGAAGAACTTGATGACAATATATGTGAGAACCTGATTAATTTACCAGATATCGCAGGAACTTATGAATTACACACAAGTTTACCTGATATTTCTGAAGACTCTGACAATCAATCATTACCGTCAAGTTCTGTTATATATTTGTAATAAACCAAAAATAAAAAGAAAGAATAGAAAAAGAAAAATTAGTGTATAAAAATGAGAAGGCGTAGGTTAAATATAAAAAGAAATTAGGGGATACTAATAGATTATTGTTATCATTATTTGTTATGAGTTTTTGGAATTTTAATGTAGATTTAATTGTCTTCAATTTTTTTTATTAATTATTTCTCTCATTAATTATTGATGGTTTATCACGCAATAGATTGTTGGAAGTTCGAAAGCATAAGTTAAATTGTACTTACCTTACGTCCTGTGTGATATAATAATATTTTAAGTAATCCAGTGTTGATTTCCGTATTAAACGCACTACGTATACGATTTACACTATGTGTAACATAGTCTATGTAATTAATTATAAAACGATTCAAGACTTTAAATAATATGATTTAATTACACAAAGTCTACAACTGGTCTTACTTGTGATTGATTCTAAACACTCTGTATTTTATTATAAATACAATTTTAATTTTTTACTTATTGATTTTTTTTTTACGTCTGTTGAATAAGTATTTTTTTTTTTAGAGAGTATATTTTATTGAGAGATCGATACCAATATTTCTTAAATTTTCCTCTGGCCTGGCCAAAACAAGATTCAGAAATATCTATATCTATGTAAAAAATTTTATCAAGGCAGAATTGTGGTGGCCCAATGTGTCCCGGTGCTAAAATGAAGCACCTTGAAAGGATGCGGCACAATAATAACCAAGACAAAAATTAAACACTAAAAATATATTTGTAAGTTTCTTTACGCTGTCTGCCGGCGCGATGTTTATTAAAACAAAGACATTAGTAACGAGACTAGCTACCCAATACGCATAGGCTTACAAATATATTCTAACCTAATGTACCTAATTTTTGAATAATATTTACTTGCAACCTTTACTCTGTCTGCCGGCGCGATGTTTGTTAAAACAAAGACATTAGTAACGAAACTAGCTACCCAATAAGTATAGGATTGCAATACACTTAGTCAAATAAAATTACCATTAAATAAATTTAAATCTCAATTTAAATTGAGAAGATTGTGACCTTTAGCTCTGTCTGCCGGCGCGATGTTTGTTAAAACAAAGACATTAGTAACGAGACTAGCTACCCAATAAGAAAAGCTCACAATAAATTTTTATAATTAAATAAAAATCTAAAATTAGGTTGGGTTTATTATTAAAATAAAATAATTTTAATAAGATATAATGTTTAAAATATTATTTGATATTTATTTCCACAATAAGAAAAATAAAATATTATTAATGATTGAACAAATTAAATTAAATTAAAAGATTCACCAAAACAAAATTCACTTTAAAATTTCTAAGTGTCATTTAGTTTTAAAGAAAAATATTCTAAGTCCAAATTAATTAAAAAATCGACTAAGTCCCGGAGAGTGAAATCTTGAGTAGAGTGTCGTAGATTTTGTGTATTTTAAAATCGTCAAAAGAACTGGTTTTAATGGGGAAAAATGGCTTTTTATAGTGTGAAGGGGGTAGCCCAGCGATCTCTACCGTGATCCTAGAAGCTGAGGCTTTGTATTCTAATTGGTTAATTAAAATGGGGTCCCAGCGTGTAGGCGTTACTTAATAATTTCTACAAGAGGGAGATTTTATCGTATAGTTAAAAGGTTATTTTGTATTTTAAATAAGAGAACCCTGTTTTGGTGATCTTGTATAATCATAATATGTGACATACATGAACAAATGATAACATCATATTATATATTAATATTATGTGTAATAATATAATATTACAAATGCACCCCTTTCTATTTTGTCATACGCCCCCGTATGACACACATAAAGAATAACAAAGACATTTTGTTCAATTTGACTTAATTATAAAACTTAAATATAAGGTGCATAATTCAAATAGATTTGTACTTAATATGATAATTATAATATAATATAAATGCAATAATAAATTGTTAATAATGAAAATACAAATGAATATAAGGTGCTTATAATGTAGTAAAAGTGCAGTATAAAGTGATTATAAATTGAATTGTAATGTCAAAATTGATTGTCATATTAATAGCTGGACGGCTGATATCGAGAGACACGGGTGAGCGCCAGCCTAGAGCAAAAGGCGGTGCCGTGTCAATGTTAACCAAAAACACAGTTCATATGTAAAAGTTTTTTTACATTTAATAAAATACATTCATTTTAAAATAATTGAAATTTGTGTTTAATTTATATTAGTTCTATCATAATATAGAACATAAATTGGCGACGAGGATTTGATGCTGACCAGAAATGCAACTATTGACAATAATGGACAGGCCTATATTGGCCTTGGTCACATGTTTTTCGACCACCGAACAAATGAGTGGAAAACTTTCAAATTAAAGTTAAAGAGTAATTTTATAGTAGGTAATATTACTGAAGAGGAAAGACAAAAAACTATGCTGATTACCTCATTAAAGTGATGACTTTTTATCACTTCTTCAAAGTCTATGTGTTCTGACAGAATTCCAAATCAAAACTTTTAAAGAACTAATCCTACTCTTGGACAAACATTTCACTCCAGTTAAGTCGTATTTTTCAGCTAGAATACATTTTATAGAGCTGAAAAATAGCCAACGGAGACAATATCAGAATGGGCAGCCAGAGTACGCACGTTAGCAATGCCTTGTGGTTTTGGAAGTGAGCTAAACATAGTCCTTCATGACATTTTCACTTAAGGATTAGAAAAGAACTATAAGTAACGCTTATTTGAAGTTGATGCTAAAGATAAAGATACCACCTTAGCAAAAATGATAGATATCGCTTTAGCTAAAGAAATGGCTAGCAAAAATAACCAACAAGAGGTAAATGAAATAAATTATGTCAAACACAACAAATATAATCAAAGGATCACCATGGATTTAAAAAATAAACCAAACCATACAAATGCCAGGAATCAAAATGTTAAAAACAACAAAACCAAATGTCAAGTTTGTGGTCGTATCAATCATAAGACAATGGAATGTAATGAATATACTTGTAATAAATGTAATTTAAAAGGGCACCTGACCCCTATATGTAAAAAAAATATTGTTAAGCATAAAAACAAATCTTTCAATACACACTTTATTAATAATAATAATAGTGATACTGATTCGGAAAATGATAATATTTTAGCTTCGATGCGAAGCTGAGAAGGTATTGGTTTTACTATGATGTGTTTATTTTTTTTATTTTTTTTTTTTTTGTGTCTGTTACCACTTTTTCTCAGCTCTCACCGAACGGATTTCTTTCAACGATACGTCAAAAGATCACAAATTGTATCTAGTCGAAGACATTACCCTTCAAAATTGAAAAAATTTCCCTCGTTCCCCGTAAATGGGGGAAACCTCCAAAAAAATTACAAATTTAAAAATTGCTAATTTTCGAAATTTTTTCAATTTTTTTTACTAAAAACTGCTCTAACTTTTTCAAAAATGAACATATCAATATAATTTTTTTTTATATAGATGCTTGATGTCTTTACCTATTATTTGGTATATTTTTTTTGTAAATTTGACCTTTTTTCTGCCCACAGGGGGGGATTTAAAATGACAACTTTTTCACAAAAAATTAACTTTTTCAACTTAACTTTTGAAAATGTTCCGGAAGGTCTGACACTTTTATATATATCTTAAATTAAAGCTAATATAATGTACTTTAATTTGAAAAAAAAAAAATTTGACCTCTGCACTTGT